ATTAAACTACAGTCAATACATTGTGTCGGACACAAATAAACATTTTAAGTTTGATTCAGACAGAAAGCTAAATCCTTGATAAAAAATTTGAACCAAATTTCTGACGTGCTTACCGACTGCAAAATAGAAAAGACCACAGTGTATCTGCTATTTTTCTTATTTATTCAATTTTCAGCAATAGAAATTAGGTCAGTCTTTTCTCACTCAAAGCTTATGATTAGCTGATTACAATGACGGGAAAAAAAGTGGGGTGCCCATGCTCGTTGGTGAGCTAGAACCATTTTTCAACTGACAGAGCTCAATATCAAGGCAAATCCGGCATGTTTTCAATATGCGCGTGCACGAACTCGCGCTAATGACGCCATAAATTATGCGCAGTAAGGATGCGCAATGCAAATGTGAGGAATGACCTTAAGTGCGGCAGAAATGCGACAGTCGATTCATACGTCGCATATGTGTCGAACTTGGTTCAGAATTAATGCTGTCGGGTATGTCAGTCAGCGGGAAATATTTTAAACGTAGAGTATTCAATATGGCGGACCGAGATACTGAGGGACGAAGGACTTAAATTTCACGAAAAATTATCCGACAATGGAACGAGAGGGAGAAGGCTGACAATGCAGCAGTTTATTTTGCAATATGTTCAGGTTGCATTGAGTCGAGAATGGCCAAGTTTCTTCTTTCTCTTTGGCGGGACCAAATTTACGCATGCTCATGTATGAATTAGATTCGACACGGCAGAAATTCGACGTTTGAATCAGTGTCGCATTTCTGTCGGATAATGCACAAGACCAGTCGAACGTGCGGCAGAAATGCGGCAACCGATTCAGACGTCGAATTTCCGTCAAATTCAATTTGTTGAATTGAACTCGACACGGCAGAAATGTGAACCGGGTCTAACTTAAGTCTTCTTGTCCACGACTAGAACGCGCCAGTTTTAAATGCTGCATAGAGCACATTGCCAGCCAGAAATACAGTACAACCTGCTCCAACCAGAAAACTTATTGCTCTTGGCAAGGTGATGGCATTCAAGTAGGAAATGGTGTGCAGGATCCTAGCAGCTGTGAAGATACGCAGACACCAAATAGCTCGTATGGCCGGCAGGCCAGAAAACGAGTACAACAAGGCAACAATCAAAAACACTGGAATGCTCTCCAGGTCATTGAGATGAGCTCTGAAATAAAAACAGGCCAAAAAATTGCTGTTACAGGCAATTTCCAAAGTAAAAAAAATGACAAAAATAACGTTTCATGATCAAGAATCTTTCTTACCCTTCCCTTAGGATTCCCTACATTTTTGTTCTTAGAAGGCAAGATGATTAGTTTCAGGGGATAGTATTATCTTAATGAAAACTGCAGTCAGTGTAAAAGAAAGAGCCTAACACCAAACGTTAGACTTGAAAAATTTAAACCTACATTTGCTGCACATTCATGTGTTTAAACCGCAATCCTTTGAAATTATACACACAAATTAAAGGGTCTCCAATGCCTTAACTTTTATTACTACTATTTGTGCATGAGAGAAGATGTATAAATCGTAAATATGGGATTTTAAATAGACTTTTATTGAGGTATTCAATCCAAGGGAAAACGGTTAAAATTGCACACAAACAGTTTTCTCAAATTGCGAACATCTGCCCACGATTCAATTTGACCTGGAAAGCTTTAGCCGCTCCGCAAGGAATCAGGGTACAATTTAGGCCCCGTCCGAGTTTGGGCTAAGCATAAATACCTTCGAACTCTCTCCACATCAGCATGATGTATCAGAGGTTTATCTTTGTTTTTTCCTCCGTAATCCTCTGGACTTGGAAATACCTTTATTCAGATAAACAGACCAGAAAATCCTGATGTTAAATCATTTTGAACTACAATCTTGGACAATTTAAATGAAAAAGACCATCAATGATGGGAAAAATTGACGCGTTTTGGGTTTAGCGCCAGTTCAACATTGATTCGGGGGAAGGCTTGGTTTTATTTCCTATTTTATTCTGACCAAGATTGTAGTCTAGTCCGGGAACACTTTATACGTCCAGTCCAGCTAAGCCGTTCCGTGCTAGGCGGAGAACAAACTAAAATGAACTCTGGTGGATATGCACGCGATCTAATTTGGCCTGTTACTCACAACAAGAGCCTTGAAGACTTCAATCTGCATCGATCAGTCGCATCAAAATTTCAAGAGGCCATCTAATAACACCAATAAAACTAAAAACACTAATCACATTATTCCAAACGGGACAGTAAATATTATCAATAAATACAACAAAAGAAACAGTGGGAAAGCAATCAAATAATGACCTCAATCAACAGTCGTAAAATGCAGTGGAGAATCACGGCTGGAAAATCGAAGTTTCGAAATTTCTAAATGATTGAAGCAATATTGTTCACCGTTCTTTGGCGCGTCAATCAACATATCTTGATGTTTCGTAACTTTCTGAATGAGGATATAATTGAAAGAAAATATTTGTCATTCCAGTATAGCGTCAATTCACAGTTAGGAATTTGCAGTGCACCCGGCTAAATTAGGTCATATTTATAAGTTTTAATGGACTGTAATCTTTCTATGACTTTAAATTCTTGTCATCTCTTCAGGATTTGGCATCTCCACGTGGTACAGTGTCTTTAAAAGTAGTTTGCTTATATGCAACTTGCATTGTTCAAGGTCTCACCTTGTTCTTGATACGATGCCTTGCGGTGAGAAATGACATGGCCCAAGTTTTCAGCAAGAGAATGCTGCCATAGAAGAGATATGCAGCAAGCAAACGATCATCCAGCTTTAGTGAAACCATTTTGGAACTTGCAAATGCTCGTTGGATGAACAGCTAGATTAGAAGACAGCGAGTTTGCTAAATCAGAGATATCCGCCCAGTGACTACGCAAGCGTCTCGGACTCGCCACACGCGATCGCGCAGTCACGCGATCACGCAATCACGCGACTACGCAACTGTGCAAATGCGCAAAGAGTGAGTCAGCAGTTTCATATCGGGCCTGGCACAGGAGATCCTTGATCGTGAACTATACGTGAGACTCGCTGAAAAGCACTTTGGAGAAAACAGACCATTGGTAATTCAGCTTAAGTTGCACTGCATTTAAATTTTAACATATTCGACCAATCGATAAAATGTATTGTATACTATTTAGGTTTATCTCGTCACTGCCCTCTCCTCTAGTTTTCCATAATCTCAAATTTTTCGCTTCTAACACGACTGCTCACGTACAACCTGGAGCCATTAACCGGTTACCAAGTAACGATCCTTTCAATTAAAAAAGCTGCCTGTCATGGCTGTAGGCGGAAGAGTACAGACCGACAGTTATGCAAAGGAAGAATTGCCAAAAGATTTAGATGTGGAGAAAAAATTAACTAGTTGATTCTCATAACAAATTGATTTTTTTTTTTAATTGCTGTTATTTGCGACTGGTTATAAGACGGTTCGTGCTTCAAAATAAGAGTCCATATTTCACCAAGCTCCTACCGAAAGAAACCCCCCTAATAAGTACACATTACTCAGTGTTCTGTCACTGTAAGGAGCTATGTTGTGATTTACGTGTCTCACACTACGGCGGCCTAGTATACTAGCAAACCATGACCTGATTGGGTAGATATATTTTCGTGACCTACGTATTTCATTGTGCGCTCTCTCAGTCTATTGGTGGCTAGCGGTCATGCAAAGTCTGAACGAAAGAACCATTTAATAGAACTGAATTGCAACATCTTGTTGATTCTTTTAACTTTTATTTAACTTGAGCGGTCAATACATGCTTTGTTAACAAGCGCCCTGGGGCAATACCAAGATGCTCTGAATAGTTATCTTGGAATACTATGAACAAAACGTTTTGCGCAATCTCTGGATGCTGACAGCGGCGCCTCGAGGGTTTATCACCTTCAAATTTAGCTTGGAAGATGAAATGTATCATTTCCATTTTCAGCTTTTATAAATCGATCTTCCAGCTTGACACAAACTGTGAGTTTTGTAATTCCCTTTAATTTTCCGCTGCATATTGGTCAATCTTAGCTTGATCCATTTATGAAGATAATTGCGCAGCGAATAGCTTTTTGCGTATTGCGCTGTTAGCCTTTTAAAACTCCCCTTCAAACTTAATTCCTATTGATCCAGGAAGCCTGAAGACTAATCAACAACCTCGATTAAATAGAAAGCTGCTTTTTGTACTATGATGCAACCAGGGGTGTATTGTTTCTGTCATTTTTCAGATCTGCTTATTCGCCACAATCCGCTAATTTAGGTTCAGAGAGAAAATATGAGAGGATAGCGTCTTGCTAAACAAATTTCCACTACCTCAAAAGAACGACCCTGGATATGGGAAATGTTTTGCCCATGCGCGGAACGGCCCCGGGATCTGTTGATCCGGAATCCAGTTGACACTAGCTGGCAACCGCGCGCGTCTCCCACAAAATCCCATTTTATGACCTGATGCAATTTAATTTTCCTACACTACTGGACATCGCGAAATTTCATTAACAATAAAAAACGAGATTTTTCAAGGACTTACGAGATTGTCCAACTTGGAACTAATTGGATAATTTGCTTCCGACCAAATTCAACGCGTTCATCATCGAAAATTCTCGCAACCAGTTAATGTCAGTCGTCCAGTTATTAAACAAATTCCGCGTTTGTCCTTCTCTTTACTAAAAGTTATTCAGGGATATGCATGCATGGAAAACGGTCTTCAAATTTAATTGGTATAAGCTAAAATCAGTTCAACAATCAACCCAGCCGATACCATCCCACGTATAAATGTTTTTGTCTCGGTTGCGAAGGTAACGAAAGTAACCGTTTATGCAGCGGAAATGATGTGTAAGGGCGTAGAACGGAACTAATTATTACATTTTTCCGCCACGTTTTTCTCTCTTGTCAAACCTCCTTTTAAAGCTTGTTTTTGTACAAATATGTGACTGAGATCCTGTGAGATCATCGGACTTTTATGCGGCAAAAAAAAGACATTGAAGTACATTTAGATTTACGCTAAACTGACTAATGGGAAACACTGCATTTAAGTTTTGAAGAAATAATTTAATTCATTTTTTTTTGTACATTTCGTTTCTTTCTGTTAAATACAACTAACATAGAATGTCTTTTTTTTACATTAAACATCATTAACATAAATAAATTACAATTAAAAATGTATCTTTGCTGATTGGTGTTAAAACTGCCCAGTTTGGAACTCCACAAGCAAACACATATCATTTCGCCGTAACTAACTCAGTGCCTCACCGATAACTACAAACAACAGCGTGGGTGTTTGAGCCGATAATCTCTTTAAACATACAAATACAACGAAATGTTTTGTCTTCTAATCGGGTATTTACAACAAGAGAAAACTGTTCTTGTATTAACCAAGTTCACACTATTGGCCTTAAGGTCAAACGAAAGCCGGTTGACGATTTACATTCAAACTCTTCATGTAAAAATTAATTGTTCTCTCGCATGGTAACTCTTCCTCTGTTGTTAGCCTTTAATTTGCTGTGAGTGCCAGGTTTTCTTAAGTTTTTCCGGTATCCAGAGAAAACGGATTAGCGCACCATTCTTCAATTCTTCGCCTTTGCGGCAAATGTTGTCGGTGAGCGTAACACTCAGTCTCGCACAGTTTTCAAATTGAAACGTCTCTTCGACTACTGATCTTCACTCCGGCCTCTTGAGCTTCTAGCAAAGTTCTGACAGACATTCGTAGCAGTTGTTTTGTTTGAGTAGTCTTGAAGAGATGGAAATGAGGAAAAAACAGCCTAGCACTATCACAACAGCACTGTACTCCAACACCAACTCTTGGAAAGAATAGAGCCTTGTGATTCGAGATCCTTCGATTTGTGATCTGTGATTTAACGGCGGCGAAGTGTGAGTAACGGCGGGTTCCTCAGTCATCATTCTTGAATGTACAGTTTTCTTCACCGTCAGTGTCGAGGAAGGAGGTCTCAATTAGACGAGAAATATTTACAAACTGAAGTACCCTTCTAAACCAAACCGTCTTTTATAGCACGATACGGATCATGTTGTAACAAGATTGACGTAATTTCCTGTAAAGTGATAACCACAATCGACTCTACGAACGGAACTTAACACCATTTAGCGTCCATTAATCAGCATGTGCTGATAAGAAATGTCACCGATAAACCGGTAACCACCTCGAAAGAAACTTGTTCAATTTGTATTTGTAAATATGATAATTTGATTGCACCGCAGGAGATGAAAGAGGTGTTGAGAAAATCCAAATTCCTCGATATAGATTGGGCAAGAACATGAACTTTATAAGAATTTTATTCTTCTGAGGGTAGCTGCGATCCGGCCGCGTGTCAAATGTAAAACTTCCTATTGAGCAAGATCCTGACATGTTCACTGGCCAAGGGGGAGTGAACTGGAGCAAAAACACGTGAAACGAATTTGAGCACGTTTCACAGTGCAACTGAGCAACATCACATGTGGACCGTTGGAAAGATCAAGTTAGCGAATTCCGTCTCTGCAATTGAAAACACTGTATTTTCGATCGCAGAATCCCATTCAACAAACGTTTGTTGTTCAAGAAGTTAAAGAAAGCGTTTCGTTTTTGGAGCGTTGCTCATCACCGGTATAAAAGGATCATTTGTACAAAGACGAGACCATGGGAATCGAATTACAAATAATTCCCCATCTGGGATCACCGTGCGATGATTCACACAATAAAAGCTTATAGCATTTTTCTGGCTAAGCTTGTGATTCCGCGATTTAACTACAAAAGCCGCAAAACAAACAAAGAGATTTCAAAACAAGACAAGTATTTACACAACGTGTGATTAAGCAGAGAAGTTTCTAGTTCTGAAGATACCGGCAAGAACATTGTTTTGCAAAATGTTTCTAGAAGGACTTGAAATGAAAGCCGATAAAACGATACGTACACCATCAAACAGCATTCCCGGTTCACGGACCTGAAATGGCCTTAATAATAAAAAAGAGGAATTTTAAAAATATCACAACTTTTTCCGCTGGCCCTTGAAACATATCGAGTATGGTGTGCTGGTAGTTCTGAACAGTACTGAAACATTTATCCGGCCCTCTTTCCCGGAAAACTAAAGAAAAAAAAAAACTTTACTGTTCCCGACCCCCTAAGCCTACTAAGGAAGCAGCCAAAAGATAAACAAGGAGGACGGATTTTTTTTTCTTTTGCGGTAAAAATTCTGTTGTGTTGAGGGAGCAAAGTTCTAGTACGATTTTGGGCCACGACGCATGCGTATCATTTTAACACGCACCCGACCACGCGCCCGTCCACGCGCCGTCGATTCACAGCTGCACCGTATCAGGTTCTTTGCACGATAGCGCTTTCAGGAAACGAAGAGAAAGAAAATATTTTTACGGGCTACATTTGTGCCAATATTGTTCACTGAATAGTCACGTCCAGTACTGATAATCACGCAAACATTTTCAATCTTTTAGTTAGAGTGGAAAGATGAAAGCAAGGAAGGTTGCGGTCCATGTCGACTTGGGCTCTGTGTAACGCACGTAGACCAAAATACTATTTAAACAATCAAATCAAATCAGTTAGATGAACCAGAGAAGTGATCAGACGAGTTAATGAAGTAACAATTGATCGTTTAGCTCGGACTAATTACAACAGTTTTGAAAATCCTCGAGTCATGCAAAAGAGTCGAGGTTATCAAGTCACATTCTCCAGTTTTTTTATCGGAGGAGGAGTGGGAAGGGGTGGGGGTTAGGCTATTACTCCCAAACTCGTCTAGGAAAAGTGTCGATTGGGGAGGGGGTATGGGGCAAGACAGCTCAATTATCAATCAAAGGAATAAAACTTGCTACTCTTGCGATCTTGACAGTGGAACGATCTTTTATTTTTTGGCAGATCCTGATGGTGGAAAACAAATATTTCAGTCAAAAATATAGTTGTCAGAATAACTGGCGCCACCTCGCCCACCCTCGTCCAAAAAGTTAGATAATCCTTAAATATCCAGCTAAAAAATTGCGTTTGTTTAATTGAATTCTTCCGTGATCAGCGTTATTGATCTCTTGACATCGTGATAATCTGTATTTTGAACAAATAACCTCAATTGACGTATGTTCAAGAATTATAGCCAGGTTATTAGCTTCAATTATAAAATTCCTTCACTCATTCTCGGCTTCGTCACGTAATTTATAATGTCATTTTTTCATTTTTTCACATTTAATTCCGAGTTACGGAGAGATCAGGTAAATTAAAGTCTAACTGAATTTAACCATAATTTAAAGCCACGTGGATACCCTGCAGTTGGATATTTATAATTCCTGAGTCCTTCAGTGATCAGATATCATGCTGAACTTTTACGACCCTTTATCTTAAAGTTTTGAGCTTAACGATTTGAAGACTAAGAGTTTCCTTTTTATTTAAGTTAAACATTTGAAACAGGATATGCTCCGATCTCCTCAATATTTAATCTGTAAAGGAATTAAGGTATACAATTTTAAGTGCTTTAAAAATTTTCTTTGAACGGTTCTTACGTCTTCAAAACGTTCTTCGCATTCAATTGAAAGACTTTTCGGAAGATATGGAATACGTGGATGAACGCAGCGTGGAAGTCATAGAGGTCAAAGATACGTAAGAATTGTAAAAACATTCGAACTGAAAATCTTCTTAGGAACTGCACGAAATAAAAGTCTGCCGTCATTTCCCGTTCATAACTTATACTGGGTTATGTATGTGTTATAAAATGGTTCCAATTAATTTCCATGTAATGTATCTAAATTAAACCGGAGCAGAAGTTACGCACAGAACGAGAACAGATTAAAGTCTTTTGACAGTACTCGCTGGCGGAATGTGGAAAGCGACGCGCGGAGGGCCCGGGGCAGAGGGCCATAAGGTGCCATTGACAACGTGCGAAAAGAAGGCTCTTTAGCTATCAGTTTTCCGATCTCTCGATCTCAAAGGCAGGAGATACACATACCAGAACTTACTCAAACCATGAAGAACAAAATTTAAAATACAAGACCAGCTTCGGAACGGAAAAAGCCGAATAACGGACGAGTAATGGCCGACTTACTAGTTCTCCACGAACGAGTCTTCAAGGGGAACAGAGCTACACTTAGATAAGCTACCGGTAATAAACTGACAAGACTAATGGTGTTCCACTAGTGGAAATATTGAATTTACTGACATGAATTTACCTCATTCTATTTTCAGAGTACCCGTGCAACCAAAATAAGTTTTTAAAAAGCTGACAAAAATTCTGGCAGAAGAATAGACAACTTACACCATACACATAGATCAGTCAATGTATGAACCGAGATACCTATGTGCCATCACTCGGAAGGAAAAAAAATATTTCCCTTCAATGCATTTAAGTTTTAAATCAGTAGGGAAGACTCGATGACTAACTGTTTAAAAAAGGTCAGATCATTTCATGACCATAGAGCGAGAAATAATTGCAACTACGTGCACAGGTCCAAGCAATACATGCAGACAGTCACAAACACGTTGTCTCTGAGACATCAAAAGAATCGTGTAAATCCTGATCTTCCATGTCTTCCATGAGTTATTGCGTGATTTCAACTTTATCGACTATTTCCTTTTCTTTGCGATTATTTGAACGGATACGCCTACCATTTCCTTTTCGCTTAACACTGAGACGGGATATTAATTAAAGCTCACTAGCGTCAATCTTTTATTAGTGGAAGTATTTCGCGGGGTAGTACTGATCAAGGTGTATCAACAAGGTCTCTGTATTTAATACTATTCTTTGTACGAGTCGAGTCTAAGAAACATTTGTTTCACCAGCCAAGCAAAAGCACTTCTTGTTTCAGTTATAAACTGAGAGTTGAACAAGTAAGAAACACAAGTGTCTCTGTGCCGGTACTCTTCCCGGGCTACAGACACGTGCGCCTAAAGCGGCGCTCTGTCTTGTCGGCGAAACATTTGCCGCATTGGAAAAGGGAGGTACAGTAGCAATTATAGGTACATCAAACTGATTATCATATCATTTGTCTGCAACCACACTCACGCGAAATGCAGATTATAAAGCGTTTAACTTGGACAACAAAAGAGCCTCGCTTTACTGATATTTTGGTCATCTTTCCGCCACCGATCCGGTTTATCGTTCAGTTCAACGTCATTAAGTGACCCGTCAACACTACAGTAACTGGTTTACGATGAACGCTTAGCAAATTTTCCACTCTTTTAATGGGGAAGAGACTATTGGATTTAGAAAATAACTGCTATGCACCCTCTACTGGAGCTGAACGTGCATTATTACTTTTTCCTTTTTCATAGACGTCCGGTTGGAAATCATAGAGCATGCACGTATGTCCCGCACGCTGTGTTGCAAGTGCATTACCACCCATTCTCGGATGTAAATATTTTCGCTTTTTCGTGCTCTATTCTAAAGCAAATAAAAGATGGTGTGTCTATGTTTTCTACGACAATATTGCACGTTTGAGGTCAAAGTGGGAATTATTTTCTTATATCTGACGGAGCACTAGCTATCTTCTGTTTGATAAGTGTGAGTTTTGTTGGCCTTCAGTATATCAGACACTATCAGTGTATTATAATGAGAACAAATGAGACGCAGATTATCAAATCTTATGAAGCTTCATTTGTTTCGCAGCAGATTTTTTTCATTACTCAGTGGTTACTGTGTCAATTATATTTCCTAGACGCCTGATAATGGAACCTAACTGGAAGACAGTGACTAGACAGTACAGTTACCACAGCTATGTAAGAAAACAACCATAATGAGAAAGGGAAAATACGACGATCAAGTCTGCAACCTCCGGCCTTCGTATAAGTTCCTTATGTCACAAGACTAATGACGTAAATCTTATCAAATAAACTGTCAGCGAATGGTAGGATACAAGAGCCAATTCTCGTATTGTAAAGAGACTTCGCCAAAGGTGAGCACGTACACTGAGGGTTGAACTTCTTAATCCCTGAGCGATCGTGTACAAGGTCCGAAGAGATGAAATGAGTCCAAAGTCCTATCAGGTTAAAACCAGACCCCACCCTCCCCCCCTCCTGTTAGAAAAGCCCTCGGCCCTTACCAACTGAAAACGGGAGAAAACGCTAAGAAATGACCACAAAATCTCCAACTTTAAACTCCTGAGATCGCAATTTTGAGACCCTTAAAAGAGCTTCACATCTCCCTCCAGTCCGCCACTATATATGATAAGAGTAACCTTTGTTTTTGGTCTCTGTATCAGTTAAAAATTCTTGATAATATTTTCAGTGTTTCTAGCTTAAACGTAAGAGTTAGAGGAAGGAATAAATTTGTGCGAAATACAAGGACTACACTCCCAGGATTAATTTGACCTCTTGGGTATCCTGTGGGACATATGGAATTTACTCCGCGTGACAGGCTTCACGGTTGGTCCAATTTGCTTAAATTACTTCCTATAAATTGAGCTTAAGATGCTTTTTCCTCATTCCTGGAGCCTTTCAGAGGTTGCGCAATTTTCGACGCTTTTAAGATCGTTCTTGAAGTCAGTGTACGTGTGAAGAAATGATGCTTCAACAGTGAGGATGTTTGGTGAGGCTGACATAACACATCTATTGAGAGGCCGAACAACTGCTGACCAGTAACTAATTTTCTGTCAAACTCGAAGAAGTGAGTAAAAGCGTCAGTGAAAAGCTGTAGGAAGACTGAGGGAATATATTCTTTGATTTCTTGCTACATTGAGGATTTCAGGACCACTAGAATTAGCAATGCAGAATCCAAACGAAGATACGCAATGGAACGATGCCCTACGAAGACACGGCATATTGCCAGAGAATACGAAAGAAGGCGAAGTTACTGAAGATCAACTTATAAATCTGCTGGAAGAGACAGTCCAGAGAAAGACAGGAGATGTGGTGAAAGCTTACGAAGATATGACGTTAGACGAGCTAGAAGAACTAGAAGATGAAGAAGACGAACGTGTTCTTTTACAATTTAGGTCAGAAAAATAGTTTTACAAATAGTTTACAGTTTACATCCCTTTCAGCAACGAGTTGATTCCGATGAGAATGTTTTACCATATAAGGTAAAAATCGTGGACCTTTCAGTCTCATGCTCAAAATGTCATTTCTCCCTACTGGCTTCCTTACATTTCTTCAAATGTTATTTTCACACTTTTTAGTATTATTTGATTTATTTAGAATTTAATGGAAATTTATACTGTGATGGATATTTGAATACAGAAACACTGAATGTTGAACACGGATCATGCTTTGAATTCAGAAACCTTATTAACATATATTTACCATTGTTATATAGTGATTATTATTAGCAGAATTTGAAGCATATCACCTAGACTAGGTGATATGCTTCTGTCAATAGTTATAGTGATGTTACACATCACTATAATTAAGCTTTTTAACTTAATGGAAAAGTAAGAGTTGGTTTAGAAAGGGCAGACATCATTTTGTAAATCGTGTTGTTTGTTACAGATAGAAGGGGTTACCCGAAAACACTGACCCCTGGTCCTCGGATTACCTATGGACCGGTCCACAGAATCCCCCTACGGACCCCCTCTACGGACCACCCCCCAAAATATAATAAAAATAATAAAAAACATTTCAGTTGCGAGTTGTCTAATAAATTACTCATGACAGCGGAATTGTGAACGTTACATTGTGCAAATGGCAGACCTGGATTCAGGCTCGAGTACAATTTATATAATTACACATTGCCATTTCCTTTGCTTTGGCCATAAAGTATAAGAAAGACGTGTACGGGGAAGCCTCCAGGAAGCCTCGAAATTTGTGCCCTTTCCCCTCTGCCATTTTGTTCAGCCCATCCTCCCGTGGGCTCGTGAACTCGTTCCAAGCGTCACAATTCACTCAGCGGAATAACAGACACAAACAAGAATAAACGGCCTAAAAATATATCTTCCATAGCCAGATTGAGCCACAAATGGAAGGTAAGAACTTTCCTTCTTACCATCGGCATCTCCTTACGCTGAAAACAGCTTTTAGGTAATTTTTGGGGGGGAAGGGGGGTGGGTGTTAAAAACCCAAGTCTGTTACATTTGCACAGTGTAACACTCAAAAAATCACCGACACAAGTTTGAATCTATTAGACAACCCATAAGTGAAATATTTATTTATTATTTTTACACTATTTTAGGGTGGTCCATAGAGGGGGTCTGTAGGGGTAGTCCATGGACCAGTCCATAGGGTAGGCCGCGGACTGGGGGTCAGTGTTTTCGGGTTACCCAGATAGAAGTGTTTTTCAGACTGACTCTTAGGACAAATTTTTAATGTGCAAAAACTAATTTCTTTCCTTCAAGCATCTAAAGTAATCTTCGTTCTCTCTTTAATTTTCTACTCACTCTCCAAAGAGTAGCCACTTAGCTGCTAGCCTGATATTCAATAAATACTGCCTCTAAAAAACTGACTCTACAAATTGTATTTTCTGAAGGCAACAAAGGATGGCAGAGATGCAGAAATTACAACAAGCATCTAAATTTGGTGACGTCAGGGAGATTTCTGCTCAGGACTATGTGGAGGAGGTCAACAAAGCTGGAAAAGGAGTCTGGGTTGTTTTACATCTCTACAAATCTGGGTATCCTTGTCAGGGTTCTCTGTAAGCACATTAGAGTGATGGAAAGCGCCATACAGTAGGCCTGGGCATGTTGCCTACTGCTAAGAATTTTCCAGATACACAATGCACATAAGAAGCATTCTTAGAGGTTTACTACTTTTGACACCTTTTCATTACCTCCCTAAATTGAAAACAATGTACACTTTGGCTGAAAACTCAAAAATGAACCAAGAGTCTTGACGCTATTTGTGTGTTTGTGTGAACATCTAAGAACTGAGCCAATTACTTGCCACTTCCGTTTATAACACGTAACATTGCACTACGACAACTTAAGGTTACTTCCCACCTTCAGAGGCCAAAAAAATAGTTTTTTCTTTTATTTGACAAAATTTAAGTTCATCATTTTATGTAGTGTTTCCAAAAGAAAAACATTAAAAATCTCAAAAAGCGGCCGAGTTATTTAGAAAACATTTATTTTCAAATAAAGTTAATAAACTAGGAAGGCATCATAATCTTGTCAACAGGCAAGACGCCTGGGGAAGTTTTCACAGCAAACGCTCATCGCTTGTATTTCATGTCATTTGAATATTTTTGTTTACATTTATTGACAAAAATTCCCACGTAGAAGCTCTTTACGCTAATTCCTATGGCAGAAAAAGCAGAAAAAAGTCCTTGGGTAAAGAAAACAAAAAAAACCGGCCCAAAGAAGAAAGAAAAAGCTCCATTTTGTCAAGGAAAGAAAAAAACCTGGCCAAAAGCGACAAAGGCTCTTGGTTTGGCCAAACACCTTTGACAGTTTCAGCATCTGCTGAATATCCAGAGCATTCAAATATCCTTGGAGCAAGTGGCTTAAATATCAAAGTCAACTTCAGTGCAGGTTGCGAACAAGACTCTTTGTCGGAATCTAGCAGAAGCGATGAAGAAAAAGAATAATGCTACACGAACGGTCCCAAACACTGGAGCATTGTCAATAGAGATGAGCTCAATCGATAGCTTGCTGGTCGAGTCACTTGCAGCTTTTGTCAAAGCGAAGGGGTAAGCTTTGAAGAAGTTGCAAGGACTGGACATCGTCTTCCTGAATTGAGCGAGATAAAAAACATATTGCAATGCAATGCTTTTCCCAGAAATTCTTGATCTAGTGTCATAGACACTAGAAGGTCCTTTTGTTCCATTGGTTTGCGGTTTTATCAGGCATGATAATCTCTGCGTGTGGCACGAGTTGTTTACGAACCTTTACAAGCTAAAATCGCGCATTTGATTTTTGGAGGAATACATCCACTTTGAGTGAATTTATCGGGCATGCATATTTGACGGACTGTCGTGAAAATTTCACCAGAACATTCCAGAGATAATGACAAACCAAAGTGTGTCGGGAAATTTTGATTTTTAACACATTTTTCCCATGGTATCCATTTACGCAACACGTCTCGCATATTTTTAGCTACTCCAACTTTAGATGTGGATATCTAGACAACCAATCAGAGTATCAAAAAAGCCCAACGCACATTTGTTGATTGATGCCTTGTGAATAAGACTGTGCAGCCATTTTGCTCATACTGCGGAATCCAATACCCGATAAATTCAATAGATAGATAGGTGGATAGATAAACTTTATTTAAACACGATAATAATTAAAGCTAAAAGCTTGTGGGGTCGTGTATTTAAATTTATTTTTGCTACAAAATTTAAAATTACGATTAAAATGTTTAGATTACAATTCCTAGATTTACAATAAAATTAATTATTTAATTAATTGCTAACTAGAACTATTACTAAGTTAATCTACTATATGATTACAATAAACTAACTAAAACTAATTGTATATAAAATCACTAGAAGAACCCTCGGTCATTTCACGCCTTACTGCCTCCTGACACTTCCAAAAGGAAAACATTGCTAAAATCGTAATTTTTTTGAAAAAGTACATTTATTAAGCTTTTTTATGATATATGGTTTGTTGCAGTTTTATTGAAACTGGCACACGTACAATTTTTTCCCAAAGGGCACCTGGGAAGGTGGGAAGTAACCTTAAAAAATGTAACCCTAGCATCTCCATGTGAACATAATAACCCAGTGAATTATTTAGATAATGCAACCTTGTCTTACAGGATGTAGGAAGTTAATGCTGACTTGGTGTGTCATTCCGTTTTTATGCTGTCAGATTCTTCTATACATCATTAACTTTAGTTTTCACAAATTACTTATCTAAATTTGATTTTTCCTTGACCTGAAGTAGTATACCCTTGTGTACATTAATAAACCAATACTTGGCTCGTCTAGCAACGGAATTTCCATCTACAAAATTCCTAAAGAGTGTGTCAACCACATGTATACCAAACTATCCAGACAGACATCTACCAACGATATTTATCTACCATGAAGAAGACATGAAGAAGCAATTTGTTGGACCCCTTGTGTTTGGAGGAATGAACCTTAAGATTGAAGGTAGGTTATCATTACAAGGACAAAGAAGATAGAATACATGGATCATGTGTACTTAATCCATTCTTGAGTGTTGATTGATACCATCAATGGACCCTGAACCGACAGTCAATAAACATCTCAATTATACTCAGTCAACACTCAATCAACAGTCAGTCCATAGTCAGCCGAGTGTCAATTAACTCATATGCATTAATCAAGAACTAGTTTACTCTCAACCGACTGTTGACCATCAAGGGTCAATCGAGAGTATCGATTGAGGTTATTAATCGACAGTCGACTGCAGGTGCCTTTAGTACACATGATTCCAAAACTGGGATGATGAGATCCACAATGGTGCGACAGATAACTATGACAATTACTCTGGATTTTGTTACCACCAATCAGAAAGAAAATCCACAACAAAGGAAAATTTTGCTACTCTCCTGGGATAGGATGCTAGTTGAACTAGGCTTTTAGCCAAGATATTTTGAAAAGTGGTTGTCCAGAATGTGCACTATGGGGTGATTTGATGCAATATATGAAGCAATGTGCAATTATGATAAAAAACAGTCACAGGAAATTGTTGAGTTGTGATAACAATGAAATCACAGAGCTGTGGGCTGAAACTACAACAAAACTTTTAATGTCCAGTTTGGGTTTTGCTCGACAACAACTGCTGCGCCACGAGGCACCATGGTTCACGTGACTCACTAATCACATGACTGTATTTAGAGTCACGCATGTCACACCACAGATATGTGGACACCCATGTGGCCAAAAAGCCCGAGTCCATGGCATGCTATCTTGGCTAAGATTTTCATTTATTCTCATGGGTAGAGAAAAGTTGTGAGAGTTATGTGACTGCCCAACTGAAGACCACAACACAGTGACCCATGCCCAGGTTCAAACCCACACCACTTGACGCATAGTCCAACTACCACCTACGACAATATATACTTGTACTGAGGTAAAGTGTGCATCGGGCCAAGTTTTCCATACTGCTGGAGCTTATCCTGGTTTCTGAAACAACTGGGAGTATTTCTACCCTTCCCGATGGGATGCTAGTCCATCACAGGGTTACCCCTAGCATTAAAAAATTCCAGTACCCAATTATACTTTGGGTGGAGAGAGGCACTGTGAGAGTAAAGTGTCTTGCTCAAGAACACAATTACTGGTCAGAATCCCTTAATCTAGAGTCCACTGCGCTAACCAAAAGGCTACTGTGCCTCCACAAACACATGTCCCAGGAGTGTCATTAGTCTTTATTATTGTTCATAGAATTAGAATGGATGTTGGCAGAAGCTGGTGCAGTGAAAACAGAACTAACAGAAGATCCACGAAAAAAAAATAAAATTCATGATGTTATGGAAAGTTCATTGCGACAGACATACACCAGAGACTCTGATAGTGACGAAGATGATTAGCAATATAGAGACACTGGATTTTTCAAATGTGTAGTTCCAGAAAATGTCCATACCTTCCCCACAGAAGGGATTTTTTCTAAGACCCCCCACCCCTCTGGAAATTCCAATTAAGCTTTTTACATTTCTTGAAATATTTTGGTCTTACAGAACNCCATCCCCCAGGAAATTATAATCCCTTCTGTGGGAGTATGGATATTTTCTTGAACTGTAGAATGTTATGTCAACTGAGAAGTTCTTTTAGAAGAAATATCATCTATTATTGAAACCCATTTTCATGGTGCATATTTTGCATGTCTAGGTGAATGTTTAAAATATGAAATTGTTGAACATTTTAAGTTGTGTATTCAAGTAACTTGTTAAGTTCCTGAATTATTTTAAGTCAAGTTGACAAAAATATGGAAGGGCAAGACTATTGGATCAGGCAACATGATGAAGAAAAAAAGTTTTCTTCCAAGCAAGAATGGTCACAAAGCATGCAGGATAAAACAGGGTCAATAATTTAGAGGCTTTCATGCAAATAGAGATTCTAAGTTTTGGGCCAGGGTAAACTTCAACAGATTTTTTAACAGATAATAAAATTATAAATCTCTTCTGACCAAGCTTGTTTTTTAACACTACAATTGTGTTTTTGTTACGAGCAACTGATTCTGTTTTCAGTGGCAACCTGTCAGCCTTTGACATCATTAACAGCAAAGCGCACAAAATTTTAGGCGACAAGTGGTTGCTGATATTGGGTGCTTTCATTATGCCAAACCGACCAGTCAGAGATCAGTGGGAATACCCAAGGAAAATGGAACATTTTCCGATTAAACCGGGTCAGCCAATAGGAATGGCTCTAGCCATTTTTTTTTTCCGGAATCTTTGGCATAATGGAAATCACCCATTGTTACCATTGGAAATGAGAAAAGTTTCTAGTGACAGAACTGTAATTTTAAGGCCAAAACATTGTCTCCAAAGCTCTGTCGTGTCTTACTCAACTAATAATTGAGTAAAAACTTTGGAGCCCTATCACATTTAGTCTGTAAAACAAAGATTTCACTGAAAACTGAATATTTTACACACCTTTAGTTGGTAATATTGATGGAAGTGATACAAATATTGCAAAAGAGGACTGCTCTGTGAAGAACAATTTTTTTAGAGCAAAAGTATTCCAACATAAAATCATATAAATTTCAAAGTATCTAAGAGTTATTTTTATGATATCCTTGAGAGATTGTAAATAAAATACTTGATGAAAATGCCACTTTGTCAATGAGAGGCAGGCAAGTTTTATGTTTGCATTCAGCATGGTAGCCCACATGGTGTTGTAGAAAAAAAAGAAGGATAATTTGAGCATTAGAGCACAGTAATTATTAAGGGGTGTCTGAATATCCTTTCTAGCAGGCTTATGAGTGTGGCAGACCACAGACAGTGGTCAGAGTGGAGAAGGACTTGTACCCACATCACGGCATGAATTTCAAGTCCAATTCCCTGACAATTCTGATTTGGCTAAGCGATGGTCTCTTTCATGAAACAATTAAAGCAACATTAAAAGAGCTCAGTCACAGTAGTTTGAGTATTTTTGGCCACGAGCAAAATTACCTTTAAATTGAAGGAAACCTGAAAATGGTAGTTTAATACGATAGAAAAACCATAAAGGAACAAGGATGGTTAAGGATGGAGAAGATTAAAACGGAATACAAATGACAAACGTGAAATATTTAGGCTAAACTTTTCAGAATGCTCAAACCGTGACATAGCTCCTTTAAGATGTCTTTATAATTTTACTTGTATTCCATTCTAACCATGCGAGCCTGCGCGTTGCCTTACTCGCAATGAGGCATGCGCGTGGAACACACACATACTTTATAAAAGCGTGGACGTTGACGAACGCCTAATAGNGGGGGGGGGGGGGGGGGGGGGGGGTGTAGGACTCATTCCCCTACAACACAAAACTAATCTAGTTGGCTGTATTGTAAAGGTATAAACGTTTTAAGTTTGGAGCCTAGCCTACGGTTTGCACGATCTGGGTTTAGAAACTGTTTGACAAAGCAATTTGTTTCCCGCCTCACAGTTTTGGTTATTCTTGACTTAGAAAGCCGTACAGATCTAAAAGAGGCTAACTCGTCACGCTGTTTCGTGTTTGCGTGACGCAAATTCTGAGAGGCTTTATCTCGGTGGAAAAGACCTACAACTACAAAGTTTTTAGATTGCTCTTTCTTTTATTGCAAATCTGCTTTAAAAATACATTAACACTTTTCTTTTTGCCAACATATTCATATTTTTTTGATATTTACAACTTCATAGTTATTTGAACGAAAATGTACATTCTGGAATTCCTTACTGTTAAAGATAAAGAAATCCTCTGTTTAATATTTTTTATATCTTATAGTATCACGACGTTATTTACATCGAATTGGCGCTTAATCCCTAAACCGTCGTGGTACTTAAATAAACAATACTTCTTTAATTCTTAATTTAAATAGCTCTATATCTTTGAAACAACGAAAACCGACTGTTAACCTTTTCATTCAATCAGCTGACTCCAAAAACCTATCATGTTCTGTTTCAATGTGGCTTACAAAATAAAGTTCATTTATAAATTTGTAATCAGGAAAAAATCATATTCTTGCCTCTGGTGATCACGGTAAAACGCGCGACAAACACGCGTTGACCGCATGATGAACGCGAGATGTACGTCATAAGACGAGTGTCACGCGCGATACCGTGACGCCAATAAAATCACCGAACCTACAAGCTAATTGTTAACCAAAAAAATAATTATTATCATAACAGATACAGATATATCTCTACAGATCGTTCGGTCCCTTAAGACTCATCTGCATTTGTTTGGTACTTCTGTGGAACAAGCCCAAACTCAATTTTAATTGATAAATTTGCCAATCCGGGGTTTGCGCCGAACAGCGGCGAAAATAAAGTTTTGTTCTCTAGTCATCTTTCTTTGTGTTGAACATGGTGACTATTTGACTAAAGAATATAATTTTTCTGCTCTGTATCATGTTTTTCAATATTGACAGGTTTCTAACCAAAACGGAATAAATAATTGACCGATCGTGAACCCAAATACCGCAATGCTCCAATCAGAATTGGAGGCGACAACATGTAAACCGGTGCCAAGCACGGGTAAATATACAACGGGTCAGTAAGCAGGAAATATGCAACTGGTACTAAGCGCGGGAAAACGAACGTAACCCAAGTCTTACTGGCTAAGACACGACTTTTAAGAGAGCTAAGCAAGCGCGAAACGAAAACCTTTCGAACAAGACTAGTGCTTGACTAATGTAGAGTATTAACCATGTTAACAACATTATAACTGAATATCATAAGAAATTCGTAGAGTTTCACTAACTATTGATAAAGTGAAACGTCAAAGGGCTACACTCACTATTGAACAATTTGACGGTGAGCTCGGAGTTTCGTTTGCACGATAGTCGACGAGGGTGCAGCCAAAGTCAACTATCAAGTGTAGAAATCGACATTAACTAATCTAATTGTTTTCGTATAGATCTACTAGTCGCTCAAAACTTTATCTAAACCGTCTTCATGGACACTTCGAAAACGCAAAGAAGCGGCCGCCATTTTGTTAACAACCGCACACTGCTAGGCAACTCACAATCTAAAGCAAAGTGGATAGCAAGTAGCGTAGCCAACAAGAGAAGGACATTAGTTATAGAACGCTAGTAGATTTATACTCAAGACTGACAACGCTCACATTAAGAGCGTACACCAACACGGTTATTCAGATATTTTCTATAGCTTCCTCGAGAGAATTTGTTTTTAAGAGTTTATCATTTTCTAATATATTAATTGGTTTGATACTTCATTACAGAACGCCTGACTTCAGCCAAGGCCATCCGACAAAATTATGTACAAACTTAATGATTGAATACCTTATTTGTTAACTGCAGAATTCTAAGCACACTACAACTGTACAGAAACAAGTCAAACAAGAAATTTGCGATCATTTTATCGTTTTTAATCATCCAGACACCATTGATTAATTTTTCTCAAACTCATTCATGCTTCACCAAGTTTAAACAAAGAAAATCATGACCGTGACGGTATGGATATCTGATCTTAGTTGGCATAGATTTTTACGATTTTGTATTTCCATTTTCCCCTTAGTCAGTTTACTTTCGATTGAGAAGATATATCAAACACTGAAGACAGTGTTTGACCACATTTCCAAACACCTCGAAGATCGTCAAAAATACTCCGCTGCACTTCGTATTTCAACTCTCTTCTCGGTGTTTGGAAATGTGGTCAAACACGGTCTGTCGTGTTTGATGTAATATATCAAACAGGACTCGAAAGACCGTGTTTGACCACATTTCCAAACACCGAGAAGAGAGTTGAAATACGAAGTGCAGCGGAGTATTTTTGACGAACTTCGAGGTGTTTGGAAATGTGGTCAAACACTGTCTT